AACTAAGGAGGTTAACCCCAGCGAGTATAACGTAGCAACCCTTTTCTTGTCAGACAGTGCTCAATGTACATGCCAATGGCTGCTAATGGGGATCGCAGCGTGCGCGTTAACTAAAAGCCGAATGCTCCTGTCTCTCATTCCTCATTAGCAATCATTGGCATGTACATTGAGCACTATTTTTTATTGTTCAACAACGCACAGAAAGAATCTCTCACCAGCACCACCTTGGAGGTCAAAATGTTATACTTGTTACACACTACTACCTCGGCTACGAGGGACGAACAGGTGCCGCTATAAAAAATTGCCCGCAGCTTCCCTCGGGAGAACACTGAGGAGGATGCGGAGCATGTAATTGGTTAACGGGGTGATAAAGTGCGACTTACTTGGGTCGATGGCTAAATTGGTTAACGTGGTTGTGAAATGGGGTGTTAAATTGTGACTTACTTGGGTCGATGGCTAAATTGGTTAACGTGGTTGTAGGAGGGGGTGTTAAATGAGTGAACACGTACACACGTATGCGAAAGGGCGGCGCTGGTCGAAGGGACGTCGATCATTGTGTTTGTGGATTCGTTGGAATTCATTTCACCGCGACCTTGGACGTCGACGCGCCGTACAAACCAACCGACGAGCGGCAACTGAGCGAGCGAGCGCCGACCTTGAGTATATTATATATACAGCGCGACGGCGCATGCACTGTCAGCTGTCGAATGTTCGAGAAGGGGGAGAAGCGCAACGGCGCATGCGCGCGCGTCAGCTGCCGATGTTCTCGAAGCGTGACGGCGCATGCGCGCTACATTATACAGCTAGCGAATGTTCGTGAAGAGGAGAAGCGCACACGGTGTGTAGAGGAGGAAGGCTGCACAGATGGTGGAGGAGTGAAGCGCGCGCGGTGTGTAGAGGAGGAAGGGATGCACAGATGGTGGAAGAAGGAGGAGGAAGCTTGCGGACGGCGCCGCACTACAAGCCTCGAGTATTAGATGCTCCGCATCTAAAAAGCTTCGCACCTAAAACACGAGCACTCTACAGTCTGACACCAGGCGTGACCGGCGCGACCAGCGTCCGTCGGCGCGGCCTGATGGCAACCGGCGCGAAATGCGACATGCTGCATTTCGTGTCGATCCGTTACCCAGACTGCACTGCGTCTCCCTCTTTCCGTGACGGAGGGACGCTGGACGCGCTGAAATGCGCATGCGTCAAAGCAACGCAGTGCGGCGCGCATCTGCGAATATATAGCAGGACCGGCGCCTGGCGTGGCAACGCTGGCGTGGCGCAACGAAATGAACGCCGGCGAGCACACGCACCGCGTCACGTCGAAATGTATTGGCGCCTCGACTGTGGCATAGAGTTTCCAGAGGAAACTCTCGCGCTAGTGTCTATGTGAGCTGCAATGCACGGCGCTTCAGCAAGCATGAGAATGATGCGTAGTACAAACAATTGCCTAATCATCGTACTTCTCGCCTGTTTCTGGCTCCATGTGTGTTCGTGTGGCTTGGAGTTGTTTTCTCGCGTAACAAAAATCATCCAATGTTCAGCGGCTGTGCTTCACTACATTATTTCTTAGGCTTACCTTTTCAAATCGGGTCACGAAGTTCAAAGGGGTTTGTTCTGTCCTTTGAAACAAAACCGAAACACAGCAATAAACGAAGCCGCAAGTACGATTCGTCGCCCGCAAGTACGAAGACTTAGCAAATGTGTGTACTACCTATAATTTTCATAGTCACTGAACGATCGCAGCGCCAGAGTACCCTCTAGTTAATTTTAGGAAACTCTATGGACTGTGGCATGTATTAATGTTCTGACATGACACACATCTCATGATTATTTTGTTTGCATCAGTCACATACCTTCGTCATCCAGTGATGTCACGCAATACCAAATTTGGCATATGTGAAGCTAGCGAAACGTCCACGAGCGCATCATGAGTGTGGCATGTAGCCATGTTGTTACATGGCACAGTGTCTTGATTATCATGTTTGTATGTGTCGTTTACATATGTCGTCCGTTCGCGTCACGTAATACCGAGTTTGGTACATGAGAAGCTAGCGAAACGGCCACGAGCACATCATGAGCGTAGCATGTAGTCATGTTGCTACATGACACGGATCTCATGTTTATCATGTTTAGCACCAATATCATACCTTCATCATCCATTCACGTCCCGTAATACCAAGTTTGGTATAAGTGAAGCTAGCGAAACGCCCACGAGCACATCATGAGCGTGGCATGTAGTCAGGCTGTTACATGAGACGGCATCTCATGATTATCATGTTTGCACCAGTCACATACCTTCGTCATTCATTCACGTACCGTAATACCAAGTTTGTTACAAATAGAGCCAGCAAAACGGCCGCGAGCGCATCATGAGCGTAACATGTAATCATGTTGTCACATGACACGCATCTCATGATTATCATGCTTGCACCAGACATATACTTTCCTCATCCATTCACGTTTCAAATTTGGTATATGTGACGCTAGCGAAACGCCCGCGAACGCATCA